TAAATGCAACACTGAAGCAGATGAGGTCAAAAGCAAAGGTTGGGTGGTTTCTGGCTTGCTGAGGACGAGGACACTGGCGCTCACCCAGCTTGGCCAAATGGCCCAGCCTCAGATGTGTCCTGGAAGCCCAAGTGCCCAGTCAGCGCCCTTGCACTCTGCTGCTGCGGCTGCTTCTTATCAACGTGCCCAGTTCCATTTCCGCTGCCCCTGACCTCCAGCAGACCAGCCAGCTAGTCCTACAAAGTGCTTTCAAGCCACCAATGCCATCAGTCCAACCTGGAGTGTTTACAGCGGAAATTCCTGTTGCTCACAATCAGACTCACCTGGGGGGCCCTGGGTGTGGCTGACTGCACTAGAATTTGACCTCAGAGTCTAATGCAGAGAATGCAGATCAAAGTTACAGACAGCCCTGAAATTTATCCTGGCTTGGGAAGAGATGTGGAAGCTGCTTTGGAGAAGATTCTTACTGCAAGCTTTGCTTGCAGTATAGCTGACTGAAAACTGAATTTAAAACACAGACAACAGCTGCCCAGGGTAGCTCAGTACCCAAGTGCCTTTCTACGGTAACACGGACAATTACTTGCAGGGTTAGGATTTCTAAATCCTACCTGCCAGGAGGCTGTGGTGAGTAGACCTGGGAGCATGTGTTGTTAAACAGCTAAAACTCATTTGGAGGAGAAAATTCTGCAGGCCAAATGAGTCTGTCGAGATACTTACAATGCTTCTCTTAACCATAATCTAGCTGACTTTACGAATTTCCAGCAGGGCGGATTTAAAAAAAAAAAGAGACGTAGGAGATGTGGGGCCTGGTGAAAAATACAGATTCACAACAAACATCTCCTCATGTCCTCTGGAACACCCACAGCAGGGCTGTCTGTGGGTAACTGCAGCGACAGGACACAGCTCTGGCTTGAGGGACGCGGGGGTCCCGGCCAGGCCAGGCCGCGTGAGCAAGAGGCAAAGGCCTTTGCGTGCAAAGGCACAAAGATCTTCTGAAGAGCAGGCTCGGAAACCTCTGTGCTCAAAAGTCTGCAGAATATCATTGTTCTGTTTTTGTGCCAATTGGAGTAAAGCCATCAGCACCCACGAAAGGACTACAGCGGTGATGGCGAGGAGATCCTGTCTTGGACTAAACTCCAGCCAGGCTCCTTGAGCTCCTGAGCCCCGGGGTCACCCTGGGCCTGTAAAGCGCTCAAGGGTTTCCGCCCTGGTTTCTCAGGTCCGAGCGAGGGCCCTGGCCCCACTGAGAAGATTCAGGCTGCCAGGGCACCCCACCGTCTGGTCTCCTCCAGCCAGCACTGAGGGCGGCAGGGAGGAGACTTCTGCCCCAGGGCAGCGCCCTGCAGACACAATGGCCTCAGCTCTCGCTCACTGCCCAGCCCGCCCTCCTTCAGTCATTTTTCCCCCAGGCCACCGAGTCCCCACTCACCGCGCTCCGAGCTCCAAACGCCTTGACGCTCCCTGTGCAATCCCTGGTCACTCACCACTCAGGCCTGCACAAACCCCAGCTGAGCTCAATTCAGGAAGGACCCGGCTGTGGAAGGAGGTCACAGAGGGGCCGTGACCTCTGGTTGACCCGAGAACCCACTGAGGCCCCGCCCCCTCCCTGCGATGGACACTCCCCACGCTGAGGCGGCTGGAAGGACACAAAACCTCCCACGAAAACCTCGGGAGAGGAGTGGGTCACCGGGCCAGGAAGCACAGACACCGACGCCCGGGTGTGAGACGCCCGAAACCCCGGGAAGCCGCGTTGTAATTCCGAAGTTTGGCGGGTGCGTAAGGAGATCTACTTGTCTTGCAAGAAGAGCTGAGAACGCCTGCTCCCGGCTCCGTCAGCCACCAGCTACCAACACGAGCCAAACTACTCCCTCTCCTCGCCCTTCACGCCGTGGCCTGGACCCCACTTCGTGCAGGAAGCTCCTACAGGTTTCAAATCACAATTCTTTGCCCTGTGGCAGTGGTTATTTCCAAGGAACATCTGCCCTCACGCTTTTGTCAGCGGTTTGTCTTTGACAGCAGCAATGCGGGCTCTTTACAACTGTCATCTCAAAGAAGTCACACGTTTCCTCTTAAAAAAGATAGGGGAGGGAGCCCAGACTTACTGAATGGCGCTTACAGCTGTGGAGGTGCGGAGAGAAGCATGTTTCATGTAAGACACGGTGGTTATTCTTGTTCCATCAAGCCTTTTTTCTTCCTAGAAATGCACGGATTTGTCTATATGATTAGTATCAGTAGCGATACTTCCATGTCTTTAACAAAAACCTAGCTGGTGGGCTCACATATTACCCTGAGCCCTCCAGAGCCTGGCCTGGGGACCACCATCCAGAAGGCCAATTATGAAACAATCTGAGCCACAATGCCCACTGTTAGAAAACCAGATATGAACTCATCGAGTGAAATAAGCCTGTGCCCCACACAACATAAATGGAGTAAGTGCTTATGTTAGTAAATGGACGAGTAAGGCGGTTGTGTCTTACAGGAAAATTTAAATGAATATATGTGGGATGGATGAGGGAAATTCAAAAAACACAAGTGGGCATATGGCAGATAGTAAATGGCAGCAGGTAAGACTCACCAATGGGGGCTAAAACCAGTAGTTTAAGGAGGAACAGGCAGTTAGCCAGGTTAAAAGTAGTTTTATAAAGGAGATCCAGTGACAGCACGTTAAGCAAGAATTCAAGATCTGTCTCTCAAGTATTGGACATGTTGACATGTTCTAATATGGATCCTGTGATGTTCTAAACTAAGAGGAATATCATACCAGGTCTGTGTTTGGCTGAAGAGAGCACACATTCCATTTAATCACAGAACAACAGGCAAACCAATATAGAGGGTTGGGCTACAGAATAACCCACTGCTTTTTAAGAAATCAGCAATGTCATGAAAGACCAGGAAGGGTAACGGCCTAAGCGACAGTGAAGACATGGAGAATCTAAGTGCAATGAGGGACCCTGGGCTGGAACAAAACGGGGGGAGTAGGAGGATCTGGAGGCCCCTGCCTCAGAGGTGCAGGTTAACCTCCAAACTTCACCTCTTGGTGTTCACTGCTGACCTGTGGTTATACAAGTTAACTTTAGGGAAGCTACTTCAAGAGTAAATGTGGATTCTCTCTGCCAGTTTTACACCTTTTCAGTCATTCTGAAGTTCCTTTAAATATAAGTTTTTAAGAAGATAGAGACAAAGCCGACTCTTGTAGGCTTATTGCCCTAATGCACAGTAAACAGAAAATGCCACGGAGACATTAAATGTCTTCCTGGTCCACATTTGAGCCTATTCTGCAAGGTGCTGCTGGAGCATGGATGGGGGACCACCGTCTTCCAAGTCATCTGCCAGGTCTGTTGATGAGTGCAAGTCCAGCTCGATGACTATAAAATGCATTTACTACAAATGTACTTACACTCTCCAAACATTACAATAACTAAAAGAAAATTACTGATGAATATAACATGCACAATGAAATGTTAATTGCCCCTAAGTGTTATTGTGGGTAAATTGGTATTGAACAAGGGCAACATTTTTAGCACTAATGTATATAATATGACTCATTAAAAACACATTTTGGTACCTCAAAAATAAAATTTAGCAAATTTAGGGCTTTGAGTAATTGGCCTTCATTAAGGTTTCCTTAATTAGATACTGTCTAAATAGGTTTATTAGTGATCACAAAATGAATCTATAAAGCAACTTGTAAAAACGTAACACCCAGCACGTAATGGACACTGTATTCATGGTTATTACTATCAAGAGGAGTCACGCATGTGATAGATAAGCTGCATTTTGCTTAATGTTTGCTGTGAGGTATTTTATGGTTCTAAATAGGTAGTAAATGTCCATTTAAAAAGAAAAACAATAGTCAGCAAGCTGCATAAAAAATAACGAGAGGACTGTGTATGTTTCTACCCGTTTGAATCAAGTAAGTGAAAGCAATCACCCTCCATCATCCTGCACGCCAAAGCCACTCACAGTGGAGCCGCGCGGACTCCGGTAACCACACGCGCCTGTGGTGCAGCAGCCCCTCCACGCCCGTGCGCAGGAGCAACTGGAAGCATCCAGCGTGAGGGGATGCTGTGGCCGGCCCCAGCCTATCTGGATTTCAAGGGAAATCATTTTCAAGCCACGCAGAGGACTTTTGGAAAACAGAATCCACACAACTAATTTTGTAAGGTCATTGCAGTATTGACAATGCTCCTTCTTACCCCGATTCAAATGCTCTATGATGCTCAAACTGTACCATTTTCCATTCAATTAATCCACATATTCATAACAGTGTCACTGGGAGCACATATTGTATGCATCTCACACAAATGCAACAAAAGCAAAGTCTGTTATCAGCTAACAGTTGAGAATCTAGCTTTTAACGCCACATAATGGCCTGACTAATGTTGAACAGAAAGAGTAAGAATGTTTTTCTCTTATATGAATTACAGGTAGGACGAGGATGGGTGGACAGAAAATGTGAAGCTATTCAGAAACCATCATCAGTGTTATCACCATAATAGCTCTTAAGACAATTTGGTTTTGTTCAGTGTTGTTTCAGTTTCTGAAATTTCTGTATGATGAAATGAGTTTTACTGTATTTCCCTTAGTTTCTTTCATATAACTACAGTACAATGTTAATGATATTTTCTTTTAATTTTGTGTAAGTTTGGAATCGCAAACTTTTCTCTATCTCTGCATCTGTCCTTATATAGGGGAGACACTGTGTGTGGCCCCTCTCTAGCTGGATGGAGAGATGAGGTAAAAGCACATCATTAGATTTAAATTCATATAATAACCAGTCAATAAACTACTGCCAACAGTGAAATCACCTTTCTCCACAAAGCGTTAAGTCCAGCTTGACTTCGTTCACTTGATACTACCAGAAAATATTTTTCTGTTTTTTTCTTTCATTTTCTTGTCCTTTTAAAAGGAAAAACACATGAGAAATGTGGGTTCTGCGGACAATTCAGAACAATCACGATGTCCCAAAAGGTTTAAAAACACGCAGACACACCAGTAAAGAAGGCATATACCTACACATCTTTTACTGTTTTAAGAAAAGAAATCCAGTAAATCCCTAATTTTAAACTTTTATACAACATCTCAAAATATATTCTGCATTTTACTTCAAAAATGCATTTTATTAAAAAGAAAGAACGAACAGGTTACAAATCAGGAAATGAAAGTCAAGGCAGATGATGTATTGATGCGTTTTCATGCCAGGATGTTGCGGCTTTTTGCGGTGCAGACCACAGAGTACTACGAGGCTTCACCACCTATAAACCTGTCCACATCCTGGCTCCCAACCAGGCAAAAACTGCTACTAAATAACATGAACACTTGCAAAAGATTCAGAGTTATCATGTGTGTATTCAGCTTTGCATTAAATTAAAAAAAAAAAAACAACTTTTCTGTGTTTGATTCATCCCCAGCCAACACAGGCCTTTTAATTAAAAAAAAAAAAAAGAATAGCGTAGCATCTACCAACACGAGTTCTTCATAAACACTGTCTTGAACTGTAGCCTTGAGGTGTAGTCAGGCATTTGCAGACATCAGCGCAGATACAGAGCTATGAGAACAGACAGCAGGTTTTGGAAGGGCATATATGAAGAAAAGTACGGCAAATAAGATGCTGAATTAACATGTTTTCAAGTTTTTCTGATGTAGACAAACTCAGGAATCCAATTTTTTTTTCTTGGCAGGCCCTTGAGAAGTGTGATTATAAACAGCCAAGTGCCTTTATTATATAATTGGCATAAAGAATTCGAAGACAGCTACATGCAAGCCTCTTGTTTACATGGCCTCAAAATTAATGAGTGCAACAGTTTATCCAGCTACTGGTAATGTGTGTTCTCCTGGTCTACAGCTGCAGCCTTGCAGAACAAGCATGTACTAGTTGGTGGGATACCTCAGTGTCACAGAGTAGAGGTGACTGGAATGGAAGGACAGACTTAGTACAGGTCAGGTAAGGTGTCACCTCCTGAGTGAACAGCCTTTAATCACGTTACTGGCTTTGCAGAAAGTGGGCACAGTTGCCGAATATTTTAAAAAGCATGTCCTGGAGGCCAGGACGCCTGAAGGGGTACATATTTTAGAAGGGAGACGGGAGCTTGCACTTCAAATTGTCTCTATTTTTCTCACACAAAAGAACATGCTCTGTGGAATATAATCAAGGGAGATCAAAGAAAAGTTGGTGATCAACTTTAGGAAGACAGAAATATAAACCTATAAAGCAAAGTGACATAAGGTTTGGGGAAAACACACTCTGAAGTATATTTCATTCGAGATATTACTGTTGTAAATAAAAATAATTCCTTTGCGGTGCTGAGAATTGTATTTTTTACATCAACAAGTTCAGCTGCAAACATTTCACATTCTGAGGGAAATTGGCATTACTCAGGATCTTAACTACTGCCTCTACCAAGCCGCACTAGCAAATGAAGTAGAAAGGATTTCAAAGACATCACATATTGACAAGCAATGCATCGGGAGTCTTGTTACACAGGGATTTTTATCTTCAGAGCTGACGTGACACTCAAAACCTAACATGTTCAAAATCATTAAGAGTCCAAGAGCAAAGCAAACAAACCAATGACAACAGAACAGCTTTCGAGACTCGATCAGTTGTATTGAGTGCAGTACAGAGAAGAGAGAGGCAAAGGCGTTTATATACTTTTGGCCACTGCAGAGGCCGACACCAGCCAAACCGGGTCTCAGAGCATCTCCAGGTCCATGAATAACACATGGGAAGACTAAAGCAAACACAGCATGTTTTAACCAAGATCATCAGAGCCCAGTGTCGATGTTTACCCTTAACATAACTTGGGTGTCACATGGTTGAGAGACTAGGGCTACCGCTTTTACAATTAAAAACCAAAGTCATCGGGCGAGCTACGTGGATGTATTTAAGATCATGTCAGAATGGTTGGAAATTAACAGCGAGACCTAATTCTTGTGCTATGGGGTGGCTGCCAAGGGGCCGTGTCATTGGAGGTCTTCCGGAGCCGTCTCGAGGCCAGACTCGGTGAGAGGCGTTGCTCCAGAGCCCGGCCTGGGCCGCAGGGGAGAGCAAGGGCCCCTGGCTATTCAAGCAGACGTTGTGACTAGGAGTTAAGTCGTGGCGGCCCATCAGAAGAAGTATTCTTTCTGATGTTCATTGACTGTATTTTGAATATTAAGCTCACTTTTCAAAACAGCTTCAGCACTGTCTACATTTTCTGACCTTTTTGCCTCATTTCTCTTGTATAACCTTTTCTGCTGATAAATGCGAACAGCTATGGCAGTGATGCAAAGCAAGATAAAGATCGCAACAGCTATCAAACCTGGTGAGAGAAAAGAAAATACAGTCAGGTTCTTTTGGTCTGAATGGAAAAACAGTATTGACTTTGTTGTGTAATCAGTCATAATAGAATTATTTTCTACTTCCATCAAACATCTGCAATATAGAGAGGGGAGATATCTATCTATACTTCAGGGGTTTCTGGATCAAGTGGCATCACAATAGGTTGCACTTACTCCTGAATTCTACCCACTTTGTGGGTGCAGCTCCCAGTATTCTGAAGGCACATTACATTGGCCTGGTCAGTTTCTCATATTCAACACAAGGCATTACTTACAACGTTTCTAAGATGAACACACAGATAAGTTTTAAATATTTGGAAATTATAGAGCCATAGTAACACAGTAAAATAAAGAACCATTTTTGTACTTAAGTATGTAAACATTTTAACGAAGCTGATTTGTGATAATCTGTCACACTGATGAACAGCAGACACAGGTCATGTATGTGAATAATACATGATAATACTGATGTCACCTATTGATACAGCTAGGTACTTTAGATTATTTCTAGATGAGGAATATTGATTTATTCTTTGGAAATACCTGTCTGTAAATTAAAGAATTAAATGCCACCGTGATTAGCTGGAAGTTAGAGAAATTATACTAGCTGGAAATTATGCCAGTGATTACCAACCCTGAAATGACATTAGGTCAGCTGGTGTCCTGCACTCTTCTTCAGAATGACTACCATGACACCTATTTGCATGATAATTCTGAGATGCCTTTTTCACCGGGTTGACATATCTAATAGCAGTGAAAACAAGGGCACAGAACCTGGCTGGGCCTCGGCGTGAGTGCAGGCAAGGCCACCATCCGCCACCGCGGCCATAAATTTCGCGCGAGGCAGGTACCCCACTGCCGGGCGGCTGCTGGAAGAAGGCAGCTGCATTCCAGAGTGCCCCTAGCACCCCAAATGGCCCACTTACTAAATCCTGACCTTCGACTCTCAGTCTTTTTATCACTTTGGGGGGTGAATGGATGCACACACAAAGTGCTTCTGGCACCCCAACGTAGGATGGCTTTCTTAGGAAAAGCGCTTGTATGAACATGTCAGTTGTGAGCTGACCTAGCTGATTTTGGCCTCATGACACATTGTTCTGACTTGAAAGAACAACTGACAGACAAACTATAGTTATTTTGACTCAGGTTTTTGGCTGGCTGTTTTCTTTAAAATGAATGAAGTCTGTCATTTCAAGAACAACTGACTACCTAGGTTGCCAATAAAAAAAAAAAAAATCAAGCTTTCAAGTGCAAGACAGAACTTGGAAAAGTATTGTCTATCCCCAGGAGTTCTGAAAGTTTCCTAAGATTTGGAGTTTTGTCTGGTGAAATCAGCAGAGGCATTAACTAATGAAATTTTTCAGACAAAAACAGTACAAGGAAACGAGAAATTCATGCCACTTGCAGCAACATGGATGGAGCTGGAAGGGATTGTACTCGGTGAAAATAATTCAGGAGGAAAAAGATAAATAGCAAATGGTGGGGCCCTCCCTGGTGGCACAGTGGGCTAAAGCGCAGCACTGCTTTAGTGCAAGTTCGAGTCCAGCCCCTGAGGTGACCACATGGCGCGGCAGACCTCTCCTGACCTGCCTGCTGCTCTCCTCAGCAGAGTACTTCATCAGTCGGCCTGTTCTGCTGCCCACTCTGTCTCTGGTGAATCCTCTCACCCCACTGTGCCTCTGGCCTGTACCCCAGTTCTGTATGCATAAATAAACCTAAAAAAATAGCAAATGGTTTCACTTCTAGGTGGAACATAAGAAAACTGAAAGAAAGGTCAGGAAAAAGACAACACTGGCACGTTGACCATAAATTTGAGCAAACAATAAGGGGGGTGGGAGGGGCCAGGTGGGAAGAAAAGGGGAGGGGGTCAAAGGCAGAGCAGGTTTACCATAGATTTGAGCCAACAGCAAGGGAGGGGGGAGGGGTCACAGGAGCAGCGGGATGAGCACAGGGACCACGGAGGGCTCCCGGGGACTGTGGTCTGGGAGAGCTATGGGGACTCCCAAAGGGAGAGCAGTGATGTAAGGAAATTAGTTTTTTTTAAACAGAGGATATGTCAAAGTGAGCCAACATCCTCACTGTAGAACTAGGTCTTTTCACCCTAGTTTGCATCGTGTGTGTCCAACTCTGACAGAGTGCCACCAAGCCAAAATGTCAAAGGCTCTCATGGCTCCAAGGGCTTTCTTTTTTTCTTTTTCTAGACCACATCTGGTTTTTTTTTTTTTTTTAAGGGCTCTATCAGACTTTATTTTTTTTTTCCCATCACCAAATCACCCATAGTCTACTACTCTAGTCTATTTTGTCCTTTTCTCTGACTTTTTAAAAATATATTTATTACATCATCCTTTCACTTTTACAATGCATGGTTGCCTGAAATTTCCACCAGCCATTTCCCCGTGCACCATCACCATACTCCCTGGTGCTCTTCCCACCCAGTCCTGGTCCCCGAAGTGCATTCTGGAGTACATGATCTAATGGGCAGACTCCCTGTCACTAATCACAATACTGCTAAGGGTTAAGCTGTTTTTTTGGTGAGATCAATCTTCTCTGAGCAGGACAGCAATTCCCAGCTGATACAACAAACACAAACGTAATAACCAAATTATGCCCTGTGTTTGAAGTCTGAAGACTCTTAATTCATATGGTTATTTTTGTTATTATTGATCATACTAATTGGTGGTGAATACAGTGTGGCAAAATATTTGCATAGGTGTGAACCAATATTTCACATAGTGTTGTAAACGAATGTACCTTAATAAAAAAAAAAGAATTTTAATCAGAATAGCCATTTGTTATTATTTATTTTGATTTTCATCTTAGAAAAATAATCAGTTAAGTTACTATAAATATTTCTATTATATGGGCCTCTAGTTTAAGTAGATTCTGAAGGCCCTTCCTGGTGGCACAACAGGTTAAAATTGCTGCTACAAAGCTAGCTGCAGCTGCTGCTATAGGGCAAGTTTGATCCCCAGCCAGGGAGGTGACCCACATGGCGCGGCAGACCTCTCCTGTCTTCCCCTCAGCAGTGTACTTCATCGATCTGCCTGTTCTGCTCCTCATTCTATCTCTGGTGAATCCACTCACCCCCTGCACCTCTGGCCTGTACCCCAGTTCTGTATGCATGAATAAATAATTCTTTTTTTGTTTGTTTTTAAAAGATTTATTTATTTATTCATACAGAACTGGGATACAAGGCCAGAGATGCAGAGGGTGAGAGGATTCACCAGGGACAGAGTGGGGAGAAGAACAGGCAGATCGTGAAGTACACTGCTGAGGGGAGCAGCGGGCGGGCCAGGAGAGGTCTGCCACGCCATGTGGTCTCCTACGGGGCAGGCAGGGATCGAACTCATGAGGAAGTGGCTTAAGCTTCTTAGTGCTGTGCTTTAACCCGCTGCACCACCAGGGAGGGCCGAATAAATAATTCTTAAAGAAAAAAGATTCTGAACAATTTCAATATGGAAAATGGATGAGGTTTATGGCAGAGCCAGGCTACTACTGCATTATAAAATAAACATCACTATACTGGCACAGACAATCAATTCATGGTTGGACTCTGGAACTAGTCTGCTCCATGGGTATGATTTATTGTCTTTAATTTAGAGAAGATGCTACATAAGGGTTTGCTACATCCAAAAGGAAAAAGAAAAAAAAAAGAGAGAGATAGAGAGAAACAAACAAACCCTGATTAACCTGTGATATGCCTCTAAAAGGAAAAGACTCTGAGGAACATGCCCAGCGACCAAATTCTGACACTGTCAACCAAAGCTGTGTGTGGATGTGTTCTCATGAGGAAGTGATGCAGCTTTCTGTCTGTCTAATGCTCACCTTTCATGATTGTGTAGACAGGACAGAAAATCTCTATAATATTTGGGTCACCAGATTTAAATGCCTCATTAAATCAATTCCCCTATCTTACACTATTTGCTGTTAGTACATGAAGAAAAAGGTCACCTAAAATGTAGAACACAGGAGGATTAGCCAGTTTGGAAACTCCTTGAGTGGATTAGCTATTGGTACACAGTGGGTGTGATTTATGAGTAATGAGACAAGGGGCAAAAAGTTCTACCACAAAGCTACCAGATGGAGCAGCGCACTCAAGGGCCATATTGTGTGATTTAGGTGCCACATGCTGTGGTCCCAGACGAGGCCTCCTGCGCATAGGTGGCTGACAGCTGCTCTGCTTCGGAAACTCAGCCCCTGCAACCATCAAACACAGACACGTGGGCCGGCAGGCCCTGGTGTGCCCCTGAGCTGCAAACCTTCCAGGCATCTTTCTCTGCTGGGTGCATCTGAATGGCATAAGAACTTCACAGGTGGTGGGTGACTTTTAACTTGCTTCCCTTCCTGAATAACACAGGGTGACTATTGTAACAGCCCATTCTTCAAATCTTGCCAGTTATCATTGCCTGAAGTGACTACATGCTACACAATATATTGTTCTAATGTTGGCTTCACTATTCTTTTGTTCCATACTTCTACCTAGCTCTGTATTTACAGTCACTTAGATGTGTACTCCTCCAAATGAAGGAAAGAACACAATCATCAGGTTGAAACAATTAGTTGGTCTGCACTGGGAATCCTAGCTGGAAAATGTTGGGCATATTTTAGAAGCTAGAGCTTTACATGATTTTACTGTACACTGTGTGGACAGCTGTTAAAAGACCTCTTTTTATACACAGTTTTTATCTATTCTAATAAGGTTGCTCTTATTTGCTTGTTAGGTGATTAAAAGGTGAACCTATGTTACATATCTTTAATTTACATATCATTGCCTGATTTGATAAAAAAAAAAAAAGGAAAAGAATTGAGTAATATTATCCTCACAAAGTTCTGACCAGTGCTATGCTCTGTCTAAATAAAATCCTTACTTAAAGGAAGTTGATATCTTGATGAATAAGGGTGTAAGAAGTAATCAATACTTTTGTTAAGTCTGTATCATCTGCAAAGTGTGGAGAAAAGGTGAACCACTTAACATTTAAATAATTGGATTAATAATATTCTTAAGACCATTAATCAGGAAGAAAAAGTTTATTTTGGGGGTTGGTTTTGAATATCTTTTATCTCCCAGAATATGCTGTTTCATTGCCAGGGAGATAGTCTTTAATTTTTGTGTGTGTGTGTTAATTCTGCAATTAAAAATAACTATGAACCACTTTAAATCCATTAGACTAATGTTGGTGAAAATGAAAATTAACGTGTGATAATTGGGAATATCTAAACCATTGAAACACCCACTTTTAAAGCATCATTAAGTATACACCTTTAATATTAATGTGTCTTTCAGACTTTTCACATAAATTAGTCACACAGAAGCAGTGAGATGTCCAAGACGACAACAAAAATGGTACTTTCTCGTGTATATTCAGAGTTCCACAGGGACTGCAGATTTACAAGCTAAATAGTATTGTTACACAGTTCAGCAACTATTCCTTGAGTGTGGTGTTTCAGTGAAATTATGGCTTTAAATTGCAAATCCCTGTGGAAGCTGGTGAGTCCAGATGATACCCTAAGGCAAACCAGTAACACAACAAGCCACTCTCACTGACCTCGAGATTCAGGGTCTAACCCTGGGGAATGGGTAATTCTCACAGAATGTTTCTATAATGCTGTATTTACACCTTCACCAATAATGATGAATACCCCAGCACAGCTCATTCATGTTCTCTATTACCTCCAATTACTGCAGAATCACTTCTGATTGCATTAGCTAGGGGTTCTCTGTCATCTCTTGTTCCAGAATGATCTGCAGTTAGAGCACAAAAAAGAGGGAGGGAGTGATATAGGCAAGGAAGAGGAGACAAACTTGAAGTTCATCAACGTTTCTCAATCAGAACTAAATTATGAAAGTAAATGTGGGATCGCTGCCATTTTAAACTTGAACAACGTCAATGCAATGGCCCTCTTGAATAGGGAGGTGAGACTCTCGAGAAGAAATGGGAACTGAACTTATACAGAACCAATCTTCAGAACCATCTCAAGAAGACAGTGCAAAGGAGACATCTGATTTCCACACCCAGTGGAAAAGCCATGTCCGTGACAAGGTCACAGAGGAGGAGACACAGTTACCTGCAAAGGAGTGTGTCCGTTCCCTCGATGTGGCATCAGTGCCAGCAGGGACCACACAGCTGGACTCCGCCACGTGTCCCGAGACAGTGATGGGGGCGGGGCGGCTGGGGTGCAGAGCAGCCTTCAAAGGCACCACATGGCTGAACTGGAATGCGGACAGACACCCCAGGAAACCCTGTGCGCCCGCCAGCGCCGTCTCCTGGTCTACATCACTCTGCTCTGTAAAACCAAGGAAACAGTGGTGACAGTGCAGGTGAAGACAGGCAAGGGAGTATATATATAGATGGTGGTGGAATATGTTTAGTTTGATGCTGCAAAAGCAATGTATATGCAGCTACAAAGTTTCCTTTCTGCTTTGATTTTATTACACGAGTGATCCCTTAAGTTTTTTTTTATAAGTTTATTTTTACATCATTTTGTACATTTTTTTTTTTTT